TGAGAAACTAAAAGAAGAGCTATATTTGCTTTAGAATATGACGATACTCTATTCCCTACTTAGCACAAAGGTAGTAAGTTTAAGTGTTTCTGGCTTTTGGACTTTATGCAAATAACATCATATTGTATTGCTTTTTAGTTCAATGAAGTGTAGAAATGACATAATATTTTGTTTGGAGATTTAAGTATATGTAATAAAACTATAAAGCAAAGCAAGCAAAGGACAGGTACAAAGTCTGAAGGTGATGACCTCTGGGTTGGGGAGGGGAATCCAAGGATGAGGCTGGGAGGAGCTCACAGGTGGCTTAAGAGTTAATTTTAGTAAAATATTGTTTTTTTAGCTTGGCAGGGGACACACCGGCATTTATTCATTATTTTACTTTATGTGTTGCGTATGACTACATCTTTTTCATAATAAAAGTGGGAGGCATTTCTTTGTGTTAGAAGTTTAAGATTATACTAAAAATTGAAACCTAATCAAAAGGAGAAACTTTGCAGCCTTGGAGGCCCCCTAGTGCCCAAATCGGATAAGTACGTCTTCAATTTTTATGCGCTATCCCTTCATAATATCACTTCCTTAAAAACAGAAACTCTCAGCAAGATGAGGTAGAAAGGCATGCTCTCAAAGTTGTTAAAGTTGAATGGTATGTTTTACATCAAACTTTAAAAGTACTGCCAGACTGCTCTTCACTCTCTTTGAAGAATGACCTGAAGAATATGTTTCAATTCTTTAGCAAGAATGTTTTATAAAACATTTCAAAATTCAAACTCACATTTCAAGGGAGAAACAGCATTAAATTTTTATGTCTGCAGAATATTTTTAAAGTGATTTTCTCCCTAAAATTTTTCTTTAAAATTTTCAGAATAACTACATTTAATAGTAATAATTTCCTTGCAGAATTTATGGAAGAATCACACCAACTGATCCTTCCTCAAGGCTCAGCTCAAAGGGCCTCACCTCCAAGGCCTGGGGGTGAAAGCGCTCTTCAGAAACACTAAGCTCACTCTGCAGGAGCCTGGCCTCAGCCTGCTGTCTCTTACACCTGTTTGTGTCCAGAGCTTACCGGCCCTTCAGAATTTTAAGTAACGTGAAGGCAAAGTCTTTGTCTGTCCTATCTTTATATTACCAGTTGTTAGCACAGACCTTGGACCATTTTAGGTACTCTTTTATCTTTTCTTTTAGTTGAATTAGACATTTAAGTGGAATAAGTTACGTAACTATATTTTAAAACCAAAGCTAGTTTTGATGCATATTTTATAGCTTGGCCTAGTAGTCGAAAGAATTAGATAGTATAAATAGATAACATAAGAAAATTCAAAATATTGTAGAACATAGTATTGCATTTAACCAATAACAGAATAGGGCTGAGAACAGCTAATGTGAAATTTAACTTGTTTGTCTCATGTTTTTAAAAAATAGAAATCAATTAACATTTAAACTGCTGTCCTGATTCATACTATGGCCTTGCATGAAATCTTCTGCAAGTTTGTCAGTCATTACAGAAAGTGATGGTATCACATCCATGATGTTTACCATCTCAGTGACATAAGGAAAAGAGCATAGGACTTCAACTTCCAGCAGTGTGTCCTGTGAATCCTAGGGGAGCAATTTCTCAGCCTCAGTATTCCCATTGGTAAAAGCAAATGCAGGCACACCTCATAAATATTGTGGGTTTGGTTACAGACCACTGCAATAAAGCAAATATCAGAATAAAGTGAGTCACACAATTTTTTTTGTTTCCCAGTGCACATACAACTTACGTTTACATTATACTGTAGTCTATTAAGTGTACAATAGCATTGTGTTAAAAAATGTACATAGCTTGCATAAACACACTTTATTACTAAAAAGTGCTAACCATCATCTGAGCCTTCAGCGAGTCATAGTCTTTTTGCTGGTGGAGGGTCTTGCTTCAATGTTGATGGCTGCTGACTGATCAGGGTGGTGGTTGCTAAAGTTTGGGGTGGCTGCAGCCATTTCTTAAAATAAGACAACAATGAAGTTTGCTGCATCAATTGACTGTTCCTCTCATGAACAATTTTCCTGTAGCACACAACGTTGTTTGAAAGCATTTGATCCACAGTAGAATTTTCAAAATTGGATTCAATCCTTTCAAACTCTACTTCTGCTTTATCAACTAAGTTTATGCCATATTCTAAATCCTTTGTTGTCTTTCAACATTCTTCACAGCATCTTCACTAGGAGTAGATTCTGTCCCAAGAAACCACTTTCTTTGCTCATCCATAAGAAGCAACTCCTCATCTGTTCAAGTTTGATCATGAGATTGCAGTAATTCAGTCCCATATTCAGGCTCCACTTCTAATTCTAGTTCTCTTGCTATTTCCACCACATCTGCAGTTACTTCCTCCACTGAAGTCTTGAGCCCCTCAAAGTCATCCGTGAGGATTGGAACCAACTTCTTTGAAAGTCCTATTAATGTTGATATTTTGACCTCTTCCCATGAACCATGAATGTTTTTAATGGCATCTAGAATGGTGAATCCTTTCCAGAAAGTTTTCAATTTACTTTGCCCAGATCCACCAGAGGAATCACTACCTATGGCAGCTATAGCATTATGAAATGTGTTTCTTAAATAATAAGACTTTAAAGTCGAAATTACTCCTTCATCCGTGGACTGCAGAATGGATGTTGTGTTAGCAGGCATGAAAACAACAGTAACCTCGTTGTACATCTCCTTCAGAGCTCTTGGGTGACCAGGTACATTGTCAATGAGCAGTAATATTTTGAAAAGAATCTTTTTTCCTGAGCTGTAGTTCTTAACTGTGGGCTTAAAATATTCAGTAAACCATCTTGAAAACACACGTGCTATCATCCAGGCTTTGTTTTCCATTTATAGAGCACAGGCAGAGTAGATTTAGCATAATTCTTAAGGGCCCTGGGATTTTTGGAATGGTAAATGAGAGTTGGCTTCAATTTCAAGTTTCTAGCTGCTTTAGCCCCTAACAAGAGAGCCTGTCCTTTGAAGCTTTGAAGCCAGGCATTGACTTCTCTTCTTTAGCTATGAAAGTTTTAGGTGGCATCTTCTTGCAATATAAGGCTATTTTGTCTACACTGGAAATCTGTTGTTCAGTGCAGCCACTTTCATTAGTGATCTTAACCAGATCTTCTGGATAACTTGATACAGCTTCGATATCAGCACTTGCTGCTTCACCTTGCGCTTCTGTGTTATGAAGATGACTTCTTTCCTTAAACTTTATAAATCAACCTCTGCTGGCTTCGAAGATTTTTTCTGCAGTTTCCTCACCTCTCTCAGCCTTCAGAGAATTGAAGAGAGTTAGAGGTTTGCTCTGGATTAGGCTTTGGCTTAAGAGAATGCTATGGCTGGTTTGATCCGCTATCTAGAACACTCAAACTTTCTCTGTATCAGCAATAAGCCTGTTTCTCTTTCTTATCATTCATGTGTTCCCTGGAGTAGCACTTTTAATTTCCTTTAAGAACTTTTCCTTTGCCTTCACAACCCGGCTAACTGTTTGGCATAAGAGGCCTATCTTTCAGCATATCTCAGCTTTCCACATATCTTCTTTGCTGAGCTTAATCATTTCTAGTTTTTGATTTACAGTGAGAGACGTGCAACTCTTCCTTTCACTTGAAAACTTAGAGATTATTGTAGGATTATTTATTTGTTTATTTTTTATTGAGGTAACATTGGTTTATAATAGACAGTATGTTCTGTGATACCAGTCTCAGCAATATCTTTCTGGATATGTCTCCTCAGGCAAGGGAAATAAAAGAAAAAATAAACAAATAGGACTACATCAAACTAAAAAGCTTCTGCACAGCTAAGAAAAACATCAAGAAAATGAAAAGGTAACTTACCGACTGGGAGATGTTTGCAAATCATATGTCTGATAAGAGGTTAACATCCAAAATACATAAAGAACTCATACAACTCAAGACTAAAAACACAAACAACTAAATTAAAAAATTGGCAGAGGATCTAAAGAGATATTTTTCCAAAGAAGATATGTGGATGGCCAACAGGCACGTGAAAAGATGCTCAACATCATTAACTACCAGGAAAATGCAAATCAAAACTACAATGAGATATCACCTCACCACCTAATAATAGAATGCCTATTATTAAAAAAAGAAAAAACAAAACAAGTGTTGGAGAGGATGTGGAGAAAAGGGAACCCTTAAACACTGCTGGTGGAAAATTAAATTGGTACAGCCACTATGGAAAACAGTATGGAGTTTCCTCAAAAAATTAAAAATAGAAATACCATATGATCCAGTTATTCCACTGTCACATTATTAATTGGTCTAGTTGCAATATTGTTGCGTCGCAGGGAATAGGGAGACCCAAGGAGAGGGAGAGAGACAGGGGAACAGCCAATTGGTAGAGCAGTTAGAATACACATAACATTTATTGATTAAGTTTGCCATTTTACATGGGCATGCTTCATGGTGCCCCAACACAATTACAGTAGTAGAATCAAAGACCACTGATCACAGATCACCATAACATATATAATAATCAAAAAGTTTGAAATATTGCGAGAATTACCAAAATGTGACACAGAGACACTAAATGAGCAAATGCTGTTGGAAAAATGGCATCACTTTGCCCGACGCAGGGTTGCCACAAAACTTCAATTTGTAAAAAGCACAATATCTGTGAAACACAATAAAGTGAAGCAATAAAATGAAGCATACCTGTATATATATTAAATATATTGTACACATATACCTATTATATATGTAACATAGAATATTAAAATGTTACATATATTGTGCATACATGTATAATATATAATATAATGTAATGTAATATAATATAATACAAGGTGCCCAGGTTAGTCAGTGCCCAAAACTGTAATCTCCTTTGTGACAAATTACAGCTCTTTCAAGAAACAGATACCTTTCTTCTTAAGCTATGCTCAGTAGCAGGCCATTTTTTATTTGTCCATTTATAATAAAGCCGATCACCATGCTTCATCCTTAATAAAGTAAGAGGAATAATTATGAGTGGCACTCACCAACTTGTGTTTGTATAAAGAATTTTAGAGCTCCGCGGCTTGGCTAGAGATGTGATGTCTCCATAGGGGTTGTCAATGTCATCAGCGTTTGTAGACTGCACATAACCACTGTTAGGGTGAAAAGAAAAGATGACATGTGTTTATAAGAAGCATAGAAGAAATAGATAAACAGTGTCCTAAATTCCAAAGGAAATCTTATTTGCCAAAGTAGATCAAAATCTGAAAATGCAAAAAGAAAAAAATCCACGATGATGGAAAAACTTTGCTTTAAAAAAAATAAAGGAGACTTTCCCTTTTTCAGAGTAAGAGTTGCCAGGCTCTTGTCATCTCAAGTTTTGTCCAGAGTAAGAGTAACAACTGATTTGTGTTTTTGAGCAAGGAAATAGATTGTTTCTGCAACCCTGGTACAACTCCTTCACTGGAGACTGGAAGGAGGCCTGAGGCAAGACAGATACTGGTATCTGCCAGAGCTAAGAGGGCTCCCAAGGAAATGGAAACCTGGGCAGGTGTCCAGGAATCCTGGGCAACCAGCCATGTGCCTTTGGGGGCCTAAGAGAAGACTGAGTTGGTATCAGTCAGAGAGTGTCCTTGAGGCACTTCCACTCGTAGGAAGACTTATCAACTCTATTGCAGAGAAGAAGAGGCAACACTAATGGGGGTGGAAGGATCCAGACCCCTTCATTTTCTTGGATTTACTTTGTTCCAAGGTACTATGATCTGAGTGTTCCCTAAAATTCGTATATTGAAATCCTAATGCCCAAAGGTGACGGTATTAGGAGGAGGGAGGTGATTAGGCCATGAGAGTGGAGCCATCATGAATGGAATTAGTGTTCTTCTAGAAGAGACCCCACAGAGCTCCCTTGCCCCTTCCACCATGTGAGGATACAACAAGAATTCTGTGATCCAGAAGAGGGCCCTCACCCGATCATGCTGGCAGCCAGATCTCAGACTTCTAGACTCCAGAACTATGAGAAATAAAGGTCTGTTGTTTATAAACCACCCAGTCTGTGGTATTTTGTTATAACAGCTTGAGCAGACTAAGACACAAGGTTATTCTTTGATCTAAAGCAGAAAAGACCCCAAAATGGTGGATGATGCACGTCCTTGCCTTCCATGGAAAGCCAGATTTAAATTTTAAAAAGTAAGAGGATACGTTTCCTGCACTCCAGTGTCAGTGAGCACATCATATCTTCTGCATCAAGTATAAAAGGCTTTCTGGTTGACTACACTCAATATTAGTAGCATCCAAGGTATTTTATTTCATAAAATAACCAATTTGGGAAAACAGGAGAATACCACTCCCCCTTTTTTCTTTTATCAAAATCTTCAACAAACCTTTGATGAAAGTCCTAACATTAAACTGACACTGTGCTAGGAAACAGAAATCCGTTAGAAAGCATGAGTTGTCTTAAAAAAGTGAATTATAAACATGAGTGAGCTGAAAATAGCTACAATTTAGATCTAAATCTAGTAATTTTAAAACATTAAGAAACATTACTTACGTATAGAGAGGAATGTATTTGCTTCTAGAACTTGGACTCACACTTAGAAAAAGAGAAAATAGGAGTGATTGAGTTACTGACATTAACTTAATAAACATCAAATTATTATAGCATTTCTCTTGTTAAATAAAGACAAAGTCTTCAGACATATCTTATAGGAATTGGCTTGCAAAAGTTTGTAATTTTAAACAGAAATGATTTAAAGATGTAGTTTTAAGTGAAAATAAAAACAGAAAATATTGATTCCAAACTCTCATGGACACTTATGTCTTTGTTGATTCCCTTTTTTTCTGTGCCCATCTTCCTCTATTTTATATATAAGATGCCTGCCACAGCATGGCTTGATAAACAGTGCGTAAGTCTGCGCCCAAGATCCGAACCTACCGAAGTGGAGTGCGTGAACTTAACCACTGTGCCACCAAGCCCCCACTGTTGACTCTCTTTTGATCTAGCTCTACTTCAAAGCCTCTCCTCTTGGGTTTTTCTTTTGCCATATATTTCTTTAGTGATTACACATGCAATATTTGGCAAAGTTGAACCTCTCATTTTCTTAGACACACAGAATTTTCACATTTAAGTGGATCTTATTGACTATCCAATATAACTCTCCATGCTAGTAATGAAGCACCTATGGCACAAATTTCAGTAACTTTCACAAGATCACAAGGATCTTAGAGTACATTTTCCTCTGCTCTAGCCCTAGAACCAGCCATTTCTCCAAGGATCTCAAAATTTCTTTTATTGGATAATGGGGTTTAAAAACCACCATTTAGGTGCTAGATGTGCTTGTGGCTGCTGGGGTGTCCCAGTTTCTAGTCCCTTTCCGTGGAAACAGCTAGGAATATATGGATGTGTATTAACTCATGTATACCCACATACCTCTATATATTGCTGTATGTACTATCTATGTATTTATTAAAATATACATGAGTTCATGGATATCTCCTAATCTAATCCAGCACCACAGGGCTCATTATTAGCCTTTCTCTTTCACATAATTGTAATTTCCTTCTCTGACAGTATGAAATCTGCCTCCTATTATCTACCAAAGATTTACTTTTTGGTTCAAACCTACTATACATGTTATAAGTTTTGGAATTGCCAAGTCATTTCTCTGTGAGAAACACATTTACCAACTAGAGTATAGTGCTTATACATAGTTCTTTTTGTCTTTAGTCTTACAGTATTCAGTCAAAATATTGTTCCCAAATTTATTTAGGTCCAAATTTATTTAGGGCCACTCCTTTTTTCCCCCAATCCCCCTAAGTGTACTTGTCATTTATTTGTAACACAGATTCATTTGTCACAATCTGCGTTCCATCCTGGACTCCCCCGTAATTCTGGTAGATTTTTATTTACTTCTTTATTTTTTACTTTGCATTCAGTAAAGCTCATTCTTATTGGTTGACAAATGCAAAGAATCATGTGGTTACCACCACAGAACCATACAGAAGAGTTCCATCATTCTAAATATTCCATTCATAGACTCTGTATTTACCCCTTTCCTCCTCCCCAACTCTTGGCAGCTGTTGATCTATTCTCATCCCTATAGTTTTACGTTTTCCAGAATGTCATACAAATGGAATCAAACAATATGTGATCTTTTGGGTCTGGCTGCTTTCATTAAGAAAAATGCATTTAGGATTTACTCATATGTTATGTGTTGCATTTGCTCTTTTTCATTGCTGAGTAGTATTCCATTGCATGAGTGTACTCTCGTATGTTTATCTAATGTAAGTTTTTCCATTCATCTGTTGGAAGATATCTTGGTTGTTTCTAGGCTTTGGAGATTATGAATAAAGCTGTAATAACATTCACAGATAGGTTTTCTTGTGAACAACATTTGCATAGAGCAAAGCTCCAGGGTGAGCGGTACCCTCACAGATTCTAAGATGTGGCAGTACTGACTAAGACATATAGCTTTTAATTCATCAGATGATTTTTCATCAAAAAAATTAATGTAATGGATCTTTATATACTGGAATAAAAATTTTATCATCTAGGTGAGCTATTCACTATTTACTGCATGATATGTAAATAAAAAGATGCTAATAAAGATTTTTCATTAGCACTGACAATATTAGGAGTTAGTATCAATAATTTACATCTTTTTTTTACAGATACTTGGATGAGATTATGAACAATTTCAGTTTACTGCGTTTACAAGAATCTTATAGTTTTGAATGTCTTAATCTTTTACTTAAATTATTACCATTCAATTTATACATTGGAATCTATTATTTATATTGAGGCATTTTACAAATTTGTCAAAACCATCTTTTAAACAGTTTTTATCAAAAATTTCACACGTTATTTTTAGAATATGTCTCAATAAAATCTATTTACTGCCAAGACTCAATATTTTTCTCAATATTGTCACTGTTCCCAATTCCAGATCCAGCATTTAAACTTGATTATGATTCTGCATATTTTCACTTCATTATTCTTTTTTCTTCTAATAATAAAAAAATTCTTTTTTAAAGAGTAATTTCTGCTGGTTTTATTGAAGTAGTACAGCTGTCAAAGACGTAAAAAATGTTGTCTTTGATACTATTTTTTCATAACTAAAATTTATCAAAAACTCTCAATAATTTTGCTGACTGTGGATAGAGGTGTCCCGCATTTTGTGTTGAAATTAATTGAGATTAGGTAAATATAAAATTAAATGTACAAGGTTATCTCTCCCATTGAGGTGATGATCAACCCAACCGTCACCAAACCAGATAATCAGATGAAACTCTAGAGAGCAAACAATGGAATAATTTCATTGTGAACAGCATGTGTCTTTCTTATGTATTATCTGTCTGTCTCATACTATTCTTCAAAATTGGCTACAGTGTTTGTTGCGCAATATGCAGTTCTACTTAAAGTTCCATGTGATTCATTCTTCTATTTTCTATTCTATTTAATTTTTGCAAAATGCAGGTTGTGATTCACCACGAATGGGTTGCAACCCACAGGCAAATCACTCATTAAACTGCTTAGTAAAGTCTACTCTTTAAACTGGACTAGGATCATTGCTTAATCAAGGCAAGAAAATGGATCCCTAGCTCACACCATAAGTAAGAGTTGATTGTAAGTGGTTTAAGAGATAAATGTGAAAAGCAAAATTTTAACTATTTTAAGGACAAAGTAAGTAAAGAAGGAGAATATCTTTATTAATTCTGGATCTGGAAAGATTTGGTGAAAACTCCACAAAAATAGCAAGACATGAAGGAAAATATTGATTAATTCAGGTACATTAAATTCAAAATTTCAGTTCAGTAAAGTGTACTCTAAAATAGAAAGGTCAGAGACTAGAAGGAAATACATTGATACATATTATCAACAAAGGATTTTTATCCAGAGTAATAAACATAAGTTTCTATAATCAATAACTAAAAGAAAAACAACTTAAATGCAAAAAAGGCAAGATATATGAAAGGGCAAGTCACAGATGTGAAAACCCAAGTGAGTCATAGCTCACAAAATATGATTATTAGTGATCAGGTAAAGCTAAAATTATAGTAAAGTACAATTTCATACTAGTAAGATTGGAATTTTTTTAAAATTTGAAAATTCCAAATGCTGGCCACAATGTGCAGTAGTGGGAACTCAAGCACTGCTGATGGGAGAGTCCGTTGGTATAACTCATTTGGAGAAGAATGTGCAACATTTAGACTATAAACTAGTGCACACCTCGATGCAGCAATTCTAGACATAAGTATAAATATATACTTTTATATATATAAATATAAATATATCTTTATTAAATATAAAATACACAATTATATTTATACAATATATAGTATATAAATATATTTATACAATCTGTAATTATATAATAAATATATAATATATAAATATATATATAATATATATGTAAACCCCAGAAACATTTTTATACTTGAGTACATGAGGGCATTGTTTCCAACTGCAATAAAAATCAGGAAAAATTAAATTATGTCATTGCATGAATAAATGGTGGTATGTCCATTCAATGGAAGACTATACAGCAGGGAAAATTAAAACCTAGAGATACAGATGCCAATAGGTATGAATCTCACAAGCACAACACTGAACAAAAATGTTAAGTTAAATAAATAAATGTATGATACCAGTTATATTGAGTTTATAAACATGGAACAGAATACCATGCCTTGGTTAAGAATAACACATATGTTTTTAGGGATTAAAGGGATGCATGAAAGTGTGAAACATCAAATCTGGAACAATGGTGATCCATGAGGAAAGTGCATGTGCTTAGAGAGAAGTGCATAAGGGCTTCCATTGTGTTGGTAATGCTTTATTTCTAAAGTTGGGAAGTAGATACACAGATTATATCATATTCTTATTTGTACATTTTATATGTATGAAATATCTAAAAATAAATTTAAAAAACTGAAACAGACATGACGACCTGGATTGTAGACTGTAGTAAAAACAAAAATAAAGAGACAAAATAGCAACATTTTTAAAGGCAGAAACACTAAGTTTTTAATGCTAAATGAACAAAATTACACAAATGGAAGGATTAGTAAGAAAGCCATAGCTTCTAGCATTAATAGAACACAAAATAACTATATGATGCAAAAGTTGATAGAAAATAATTGATAATACCTTGAACTCCATGAATTTTGCAACATTATAACTCTTATCAAATTATTTATGAAGCAGTCCTTATTTTTAAATGGTTATGGCATATCTAACAGTCTAAATTTTAAGGAGGAGGGTTAAGAGGAAATGAGAAAATGGGCAACAGCGAGGAATTGAACTGGGATTTGAGTTCTCTTTCCAATCAGAGGGAGGCAAGTCTAAGGGCCTCTGGAATGTTCTGAGAGGATATGCCCCTCACCTCTCTCTCCAACCCATGGGCTAGAGCATCAGATTCTTTTTTTATTTTTTTAAGATTGGCACCTGGGCTAACAACTGTTGCCAATCTTTTTTTTTGTTTTTCTGCTTTATCTCCCCAAACCCCCTCTGTACACAGTTGTATATATTAGTTGCAGGTCCTTCTAGTTGTGGGATGTGGGACGCCGCCTCAACGTAGCCTGACCAGCGGTGCCATGTCCGCGCCCAGGATCCGAACCCTGGGCTGCAGCAGTGGAGCACGCAAACTTAACAACTCGGCCACAGAGCCGGCCCCTAGAGCATCAGATTCTTAATGGTAAATATGTGATAGTGAGAAAATCTGGTGATGAGAACATTAGGAGATAAAACTTACAAATTAACTGGCTTGACTGGTACCAAGAAAGATCTTGTTTGAAATCTGTCCCAGAGTCCACCAACCATCTAAAATCATCATCAAAACGAATGACAGATATTTAATGAATGTCACTATAATTTCTAGTGTATAAGTTGCAATTACTGTATTTTATAGCGTATGAACTCTAGTCCTCTTAATGGTCCTTTCTGCATCATAGGCAAGCCCCAGGATCCCAAAGAAAAGCGCTCCCCTGGCACCCTTAGCAACGCAGGGGTTTGCTCCAGAGCCACTCCTGGTCTCTGCTCTGCTCTCAGACCTTCAGTTTCAGTCTGTTTTCCATAGCTGGAATCTGACTCATTACCCACTTCTGTCGAATTGAAGCCCTTATGAAAGGCCTGATTTTGGTTTTCTTCCCAGAGACTGTGCTCACTTTGGGGTTATGGATGACTTTTATGATTAAAGCACTTTCAATTCATAAATGTATATATTTACTTGTTCTCTGCATAATTTTTAACAAATAAGTATTATTGTGACTTAAAGTTTTTGAGTTTAGTGCAGTAACGAATCCATTGTTGCCCAGGGATGTTCACTGACCTGAGTTATCGCTGGTGTTCTTTTGTATCTTTTCAGTGTAAAACACTGTGAGACAGGGTCAGCAGCTTTTTCCACTGTTGTTTCTTCTGGATCGAGTTTTGGTGGGAGCATGTTGTCCCAAGGAACAACTTCATAAGCTCTATGAAATTATTAAATAATGACATTTCATGAAAAATCCATATTCGATTAGTATCGTCCATAACATTATTCTATACTATGGTAGGCAGAATTCTAAGATATCTCCCAAGATTTCTGCCTCCTAGTGTACATACTATACTCATCCACCTCCCCTCAGGTGTGAGCAGAGCAAATGAATATGACAGGATATCACTCCAGTGACACTTTATGTGGTAACTTTATATGGCAAAAGGGCTTGTGCACATGCAATTAAGGTCCCTAATCAGCTGAATTTGAATTAATCAAAAGGCAGATTATCATGAGTCTGACCTAACAGGTGAGCCCTCAAAAGAGACAAAAACAGCAGCAGATGCTCTTCAACTGTCCTTAAAGAAACAAATCGCATGAACCCTATAGCTGCAAGCAACTGAATTCTGCCAACAATACAAATGATCTCAGAAGATGAGGACCCAGCCTCAGCTCACACCTTGATTCCAGCCTGAGAAACCTCGAGCATTGAATCCACTTGGGACATGCCTGGACTTTTGAGCTACAGAACTGTGAGATAATAAACGGGTGTGGTTTAAAGCCGCTAAATTTGTGGTGATCTGTTACATAGTAGTAGAAGGCTAATGCATATACTTACGTACATCTTACAGCTTCCAAAAACATTCATTTGACCTTTGCAGCAAGGCAGGAAAACTATTAATTTACAAATAAATAAACTATGTCTTAGAGAATTGAATTTGTTTGCTTAAGGTCATTTAGCTACTGATGGTCGAGGTCAGGACTCAGATCTGTTATTTTGCCTCTGAAGAGTCAGCAGCATTCCCGTTGTTCCACACCAATGCACACAAATTATAAAAATCTTGAGCATGGTACAAGGACTCCAGCTATCTTAGTAAGTGCAATAAAAATTGTATATACACAAAGATTTGGATCTAAAGGTATCATCTTGTATTTGGAATTTTGGAACCTGCTGTTCTTTTTGACAGACATATATGGTAGGTGCAATGAAATAGACCCTAGCTTGATCCTGAATGAAAAACAAATAGCCCTCATTCCAGTGACTGTGTTCTGATAGATGGATAGATGGCCTGTGCTCCTGCTGCCCAGATGCCAGATTCCGCTCCTGCCCTGTCTAAACTTGGTGTTAAGGTTGGTTTTTCCATTCTGTGAGTTAATCCTATCTTTCAAATAATCCCACTGTTGGTCAAAGTCAGTCTGCAAACAAAGAATTACCAGTGAGCCCCATTTCCTCAACAAATGTTTATTTAGAAATTACTATGTGTCAAGCACTGTGCTAGGGGCTTGAGATAACAGAGTAAATAAAGAATAAAATAAGAACTATATTTACAGCACAGGAATGTTGTAAGGATTCGATAAAATAATCTTGGTGAAGTTAAAGAGCGCAGTTAAGGTTCCATAGTGTGTTCTTTGTTGTGTATACATTTTGAACTCACTCGTTCTAAAATTACTGTGTCCTAAGGAAAAGCTAATTCTTACAAAATATTTTTAATTGTAGCAAAAACTTAAATGGTGCATTTTTCTGACATAATATCTGATTGGTATTGTACTAAGGAATTAATCTGTGAGTTGAATTAAAGCTTGAAAAATACATCACTGTTTGAGCCTCTGATATATTTCATGAATGTTTTATGGAATTTTCCATAGAAGTTATACAAGTTTTTTCCCTAAGAAAAATTTTGTATTATATTTTTTAAAAGAGACTATTAAATAGTATGATTTAATACTTAGTTTTGTAAAATAAACTCCTATATTCTGATTAAAGTACCATGAATTTAGCCAAAACATTAACTGTTTCTAAGATGACCACTGGAAATTTTTTTTGATAGAAATCAAAATAATAATACAAGATAGAATGAACTCAAAAGCCAGAGAGGAAATTAGAGTTATAGTTATAATCCTTCATTTTTAAGGTGGGAAAATTGAGGGCCAAAAAGCTTAGAGGATGCCAGAGTCCCATGATCAGCAGTTAGACATATTTGGGGCCTTACAATTGGTATCTAAGACTGCTGATGTCTTATTCAGTGTTCTTTTCTCAATTTGTTCTAAGACTCTGAAATCCACTTCCATATCATATATTTATTTTTTTTTAATGTAAACCAACTCTAGTTTGCTTTTTAAATAGTATCTTTAAAGCGCTATAGCTTGGTGAAGAATGTAAATTAGTATAGTCATCTCGAAAGCCAGAGTTTTGTTTTGTTTGTTTTTTAATAAGTCATTAAAAAGATTCAGCCTATTCTAATGGGATAAATGTTTTCAACCATTTCATTTTGAGTTAATGAAAGCTCACAAACGAGCAACACTCTTCCTTGAGGAAAACAAAAAGCTGTTATTGACAAGCAACAGCACACACACACACGCGCACACACACACCCAAAAACAAAAAGAACAGTCTAAAAATAACTGTTTCCATATTTTTTGATGTTGCTTTACAATGGGATGATATGCACATGATGTTGCCATGTGCCACAAATTTACCATGTAGATTTGTAATACATTTGTCATTTAGACAAATGATTCAATACAAGAGGTCCTAACTTCAGTAATGCAACATGATAATCCTTTTAACAAAGTGAGTGAAATTAGTCAGAGGGAGAAAGTCAAACACCGTATGATCTCACTCATAAGTAGAAGATAAAAACAACGACAAACACGTAGCAAGGGAGATTGGATTGGTGGTTACAAGAGGGGAAGTGGGGCCGGGGGAGGGCAAAAGGTGTAATTAGGCACACATGTGAGGGGATGGACTATAATTAGTTTTTGGGTGGTTAACATGATGTAATCTACACAGAATTTGAAATATATTATGATGTACAGCTGAAAGCTATATAATGTTGTAATGCAATGTTACTGCAATTAAAAAATTAAAAATTTTAAAAAATAATAAAATAAAATAAAGCAATTTGGTTTACTCATTATCCTTTCCTCTAGACTGAAATATAGGCTAAAAAAAAAACACTCCCTAATTTTAAATTAATATTGTTTACAGGAAAAATTATATAATTTTGGATTAAAATTTACAAGTATATGTTCAAACTGAGTTTGTCTCCTCCCCCATCCCAGCCACAAAATAGGCATGCAGTAAAATTTTTTTAAATGCCTTAATTTTTAACTTCATGCCAACTAAATAAAGATGACAAAACAAAAGCTTAATCAATGGAAAGATATTTCATAGAACATGTCTCATACAAAAAGCATATAAGAAAAAGGTCCACTGGATGACATTTTAATTTACAAATTGGCATCATTTTGGTCGACAAATATCCAGATGCTTTTTTCTTCTGCTAACAAGAGTTGCAGAGAAAAAAACCAAAAACAGCATGACTTCTGATTTTGATCACACATTTCTCCTATATTTCTTTATAAAACTTCTAAGATAATATCTATTCATATGTGTATTTCATGAAACTGTATTTGGTGACGGGTGTGCCTTCAATATGAACGGAAAAAAATGAAGTCAAAATGTGGTCTGTCTGCCATGTTCAGCATACAAGAGGAAAGGAGGATAGCGGGCAGGTATGAAGCTCTTTGCAGCACATACATACTGTTATGTCTTTATTCTCATTGCTGCCTCTCCCTGTCCACTCAAGTCTCCACTGTCTGCCACTCAGCTTATTTCTAAATCTCTGATCATTACAAGCATACATTCTAGGGCCTCATCTAACTTGACCCATTTGCATGGTGGAAAACTGTTCATCACATGGCCCTCTCTGAAACACTTTCTTAATTTGCCTTCCAGGCATTAGAACCTCTTTATTGTCCTCCTCCCCTATTGGTTGCTTCTTCTCAGTCTTTTGCTGGTACTTCCTCTATTTTCCTCTTTCTTAATGTAGAGATGCCAGGACTCAAGCTCCTTACTGCTCTCACTACACTTCTCCTTTGGTGCTCTATCCAGAGCTGTGTTTAAGCACCTGTCTATAAGCCATAAGACCAGCCTTATTTCTCTAGCCCAGACCACTCTCCCAGGCTCCAGATCCATATGCCCAATGGCCTTTTGACATATTCGCTTGGATGTCTAGTGAACATCTTTCTATTCGGCATATCTAAAACTGACGTCTGATCTTTCGCTCCAAACCTCCACCTGCTTTCATCGTGTGAAGTAAAGGCAAGTTCAGTCCACCCAGCTGCAGAGCCGAAAGCCTTGGAATCATTCTTGACTCCTCTTTCTTTCAGAGCCATTACCTCCAATCTGGAAATTGTGTTGGCTCTACCTGTGAAATACATCCAGAAAACAACCACTGCCCCCAGCTTCCTACCATCCTCCTCAAGCCACCCTTATCTCTGACCTAGATGACAGTAGTAACCTCCTAAGTGGTCTCCAGGCTGCTCCCCTCATCCATCCACTTTGGGCACAGCAGCCACCATTTTTGCTTTGATATACACATCTGATCTAGCCACTTTGAGCACTCAGAGTAAAAGCCCTGGTATTTACAATTGCTTAAAGTGCCCCCTAGATCTGGTTCCCCAGCACTCCCTGCACTTTCTGACCACCTCTTCTTCTCCTACTTCCCCCTTTTACTCTGTTCCAAGCACCCCACCTTTGTTTTTTCGCCACACCTCAAGCACACTTCTGACATAGGACTTTCACTCTATATTCCCTCTGCTTGAAAAATAGTCACTCCAGGTATCTGCACGTCACTCCTCCACCTTGTCTGAGTTTCTGCTCAAGTCTCATCACTCAGGGAGGCCTACCCAGACCTCCTATTTATTACTGAGGCCTATTAATTACCCCCCACACAGGACACTCCTGATCTTATCCTGTTCCGCTTTTTCTCTATTTTTTCTTGGACTCATCACCTTCCAAGATACCATCTATTTACTTTCTTAATACGTTTGTTGCCCTTATTGTCCATCTTCCTTTAGAACAAGAGCTCTTTGAGAGGAGAGACCTGTCTGCTGCTTTATTCACTGATGAATCCCATAGCCTGGGGCATAGAAACATGATAGGTGCTCTATTTTCTGACCCAGTAAACAAGTCTTCCTCCTTCCAGTTTTCTCCACTCTCATTTTTTATGGCTCTATCCTCATCTCCTCCTCTCTCTCTGACCATTTCCTTTCTGTTTTGGTTTTATTCTTCCATTAAACATAGGTTTTCTCTAAGACTTTTCCTAGACCTGTTTATTTTAGCAATAAACGTGAATAAGTAAATATCTGCATTTGATGTTCTCTGAATTACTCATAAAATCCAGGATATCGTAGACACAAAGGGCATGTGTCATTAAAGATAAAAGAAATATATTTTAAAATCAAAATTGTATTGGGAAAAAATGCTTACTTTTGGGTAGAGGACTTATAAAATGAGTCCTTTGCGTTGTATTTCTTGGTTGGTTGTGAAAGTGCTTCTCCATCATCCTGGAAGGCATGAATAATAAATTAAAAGAGATCAGGTATGAATGGGAATTGCTAATGTGTTCTATTCACCATGCTTTCTTTCTTCCTCTTCATTCTTTCCCTTTCATAACACCTCTCGGAACAACTAGATTTAATGCTTCCCTACTTTCCTCTATTGTCTAGGAAATTTACATTCTCTGTATAGTCTCCTAGTGATTAAATTAAAATTTACGAAATGTATATTAAAGTTAATGGAAAGTCAGATTTTTATAAGAAAGCCCTTGAATTTTATATATATGCAAATAATTAGTTTTTAGCACCATGCCATTAAAACAGTTTTGAAGGTCTTGTCTGTCTTGTCTTCTGATAATACAAGGACATTAGCTCTGAAATACTTCCCTCTCCCTATATTTCATCTTATTATATTAAAATTAATTAATTACTATTATAACCAATGTTATTGCTGTCTGTAATGGTTATTATTTATTTAGATTTTCCATGATACTTTACGAATTCTTTGCCTACTTTTGCTTCTTGTATCTTGCTTGAATTTTTTCCCCTCCTGGGATCTTGTTTCTATTCTTTTTTTCTTGAAGTTCAACTTTCAAGATTTCTTTCATGGATGTGACCTTCTAGTTCTGTTTTTTAATTCATCCTCACTTTTGAATAATTGTTCTAACTGGGTTTAGAATTGTAGTTTAATGGTTAGGATTATTTATCTCATTGACTTCTGGACGGTAGTTTTGCTCTAGAAAGCATGCCGAGATGAAGGGCTGGCAAGAATTCTGTGACTCTACCCTCTCTGGTTGTATTTAGGATATTCGTCTTGGTTTTCCTACAGTTTCAGTATAATTTATTTAGGAGAGGATATGTTTTTGTTCATCTGCCTTAGGACTTGTTATGCTTCTTCAGTCTGAGAATTCATGACTTTTCACCAATTTGGACAATTCTCCATTTTTATGTCTTTATTGTCAGTGTTCTCTTTATTCTCTTCTTCAGAAGTTCCTATTAGACAAATATTGGACTTTCTCATTCTATCCTCCAAGTCTCAACTTTTTGTCCCTTGGCCTTTAACTTCCCTATCTACAGTTCCATTCTACCTCTATCAACTTTCTTATTTTTCCTTCTTCACCTTTTTCTAGCCTCTATTTAAACCTGCTCATTGTATTTTTTAAAATTTCATCAAAGCTACAGCTAGTAAAATAAAGAAATGGTTTTTTCCTGTATTTTGTTAGTACGATGAAAGGTATTGATTGATTTTTGAATATTAAAGTAATATTTGCAGTCCTGAGATAAACCTCACATGATCATCGTATATCGTCCTTTTTATAAATTACTGTTCTTGGTTTGCTAATACTTCACAACAATTTTTATGTTTCTGTACATGAGAAATATTAATCTGCAATTTCTTCTTTTTTTATATATTTTTGTCTGGTTTTGGTATATTGGGTTAAATTATATTCCTAAAGCTAGTTGGGAAGTGTTTCTTCCTCTATTTTCGGAAATAACTTACATAAGATTGGTGTGATATCTGCCTAGAATGCTTGATAAAATTCAGCAGTGAAACCGTCTGATCCTGAAGTTTTCAGTGTGGGAAGATTTTTTATAATAGAAATAAAATGTCTTTAATATATATAGGGCACTTATAAATTCTATTTCATTTAGTATCAATTTTAGTAATTTGTATTTTTAAAGGAATTCTTAATTTAATCTAAAATATCTAATTAACTGACATATAGTAGTTTGTAATATTTCCTTATTTTTCTTTTAAGATCTGTAGTAATAACCCCTCTTTAATTTCTTACATTGGAAATATGTATTCTATTTTTCTTGATAATATTAATGAGTTCTATCACTTTTGTTGATCTTTTCAAAGAAACAACTTTTGGCTTTTAAAATTCTCTTTTGTGTCTATTCTCTTTTTCATTGATTTCTACTCTTACCTTTTTTTTTTTTTTTTTTTGAGGAAGATTAGCCCTGAGGTAACATCTGCTGCCAATCCTCCTCTTTTTGCTTAGGAAGACTGGCCCTGAGCTAACATCTATGCCCATCTTCCTCCACTTTATATGTGGGATGCCTACCACAGCATGGCTTGCCAAGTGGTGCTATGTCAGCACCTGGGATCCGAACCAGAGAACCCCTGGCCGCTGAAGCAGAACTTGAGAACTTAACCACTGTGCCACCAATCCCGCCCCAATTCTTATCTTTTTAATCTTCTTTTGTATCTTCGGTTTAATTTAATCACTTTTCTAGTTTCTTAAGATTGAAACTTATATCATTAATTTTAGACTTTTCTTGTTTTCTAATATACACACAAAAGTCTAAGTTTTTTCTTCTAAGCAGAGTTTTAACAGCATTGTACAAAATTCAATATGTTCTATTTTCATCATCATTCAGTTTAAAACATTTTCTAATTTCTCTTGTGATTTCTTCTTTGACTCATAGTTTATCTAGAAGTGTGGTGTTTAATTTAAAAATATTTGAGGTTTTCCTAGACGTTTTTTGGCTATTTATTTTTAATTTAACTCTGTGGTGGTTTGAGAACATATGTAGTCAATTATCTTCTTTGATTTTGAATGCTAAACCAATCTTGCAATCCTGGAATAATCCCCACTAGTCATAACGTATTATCCTTTTTAAATATTACCAAATTCAAGTTAGTAAAATTTTTCTAAGAATTGTTGTCTCTTCATAGACATATTAGACTGTAATTTTTTATTGTGGTGCCTTTTTCATATTTTGATGACAGGGTTCTTTTGTCCTGAAATATATTATTTGGGTAAGATGATATTATTTCTTCCTTCAATATCTGATCTTATTCATCAGTAAAACTATCTAGGCCTGGAGTTTTTTCTGTCGAAAATGTTTTGATAGTCAATTAAACTATTTTAATAGATATATGGCTGTTCAGGTTTTCTTTTTGTGTCAGTTTTGGTAAGATGCGTTTTCAAGGAATTTGTTCATTTTATCTGAGTTAACTTCATTGGCATAAAATGGTTTATAATATCACTTAATTTTTAAAGAATAAAAGGTATTTAAGTTTAATATACTTGCAATGAATTGAATCCATTAAAGCATACAATTTGATGAGATTTTACAGTTGTGTACACCCATGAAACCAACACAACAGACAAGATTCAAAGCATTTATATTTTGCTAAACATTTCTCATGCCCCTTAGCCATGCACATCTTTCTCTGCTCCCAGGCCAGGGCAACAAGTGGCCTATGTTTTGTCATTTGATATAGGTTTGCATTTTCAAAATTTTATTTGAATAGAATCAATTGGTATGTGATATTTTGTTTCTGGCTACTTTCATTCAGTATATTGATTTTGAATTCATTTATCATGTTGCATGTATCAATAGTTTGGTCTTTTTTATTGCTGAGTACTATTCCATTGTACGGTTATGCCACAATTTGTTCATACTTTCACATGCACGTGAACGTTTAGTTTGTTTCCACTTTTTGGCTATTATGAATACAGGTGCTTTGGACATTTATGTCCAAGTCCTTGTGTGGATATATATTTAAATTTGTCTTGGGTAAACATCTAGGAGTGCAATGGCTGGGTCACTTGATGGGTATGTATTGAACATTTAAAAAAGTGCTAAAGAGTTTCCAAAGTAGTAGTACCATTTCGCATTCCCATAAGCAGTGTGTGAGAACTCCAGTGTTCTGTATACTTGCCAAAACATGGAATTTCCAGTCTTTTTAATTTTAGCCATCATGAGGATAGGTTTTATTGTAAATTGTATTTCACTAATGACTCAGCATGTTGAGCATCTTTTCATGTGTTTATTAGCCTTTCTTATAATTTCTTGTGAAGTGTCCGTTCAGATCTTTCAGCCATCTTTCATTTGGATCGTTTGTCTTGTTATTATGGATTTTAAGATATCTTTATACCTTCTAGATAGAAGTCCTTTTTCAGATCCTTAATTGTGAATATTTTCCCCATTCTGTGGCTTGCTGTTTCATTTTCTGAAAGATCTCTTTTGAAAATCTAACTATTGCAAAAAGTTTTATAATCTTAATTTCATATTCAGGCTTCTTATCCACTTCAAGTTACTTTTTTGTATACGTTAATGTAGTAAAACTTAATTTTTTCCCATAAGGATATCCAGATGTTTCAATAATTTGTTGAAAGACTCTCTTCATTGAAACGCCTTGGAACATTTTTAAAGAATCAAATGGCAATGTATAGATGGCTCAATTTCTGGACTCTATTATGTTCCCTTCATGTGTATGTGGATCATTTTACCAATTGCCACTGATTCTGGTAACTTTATACTAAGACGAAATCTAGCAGCAAAAATACTCCAACTTTATTCTTTTTATTCAAAATTGTTTCAGCCATTTTAGGTTTCGCATTCTTTATAGATTTTATAATCAGCTTATAAATTTCTACCAAAGAGCCTCCCAGGATTTTGATAGGGTTTGCATTGAATCCATTGATCAATTGGGGAAGCATTAACTTATTAACAAGAATAAGTCTTCCAGTCCATGAACCTGGCTTGCTTTCCATTTATTTACGTCTTCTTTAATTCATTTCACCCAGTCATGTACTACAGTTTTTAGTGAAGAATATATGCATGTGTTTCATTAAATCCTTTGTGGTTTGGGGCACTATTGTAAATGGAATCTTCTAAAATTTCACTTTCAAATTGTTTGCTTCTATGTAAAAATACAATTGATTTTGTATATTAACGATAAACATATGCCTTTGACAAATTCAAGTATTACTTCTAGTAATTGCTTTGTAGATTTCTTAGGATTCTTTATAAATATCATCATGTCATATCTATACAGAGAAGGATTTACTTCTTCCTTTCCAATATTTGTGATTTCTTTTTCTTTTTCTTATCTTTCTGCAATAGCTTTCTCCTCCATTAAACGGAAAATAAAAGTGATAAGAGCAGGCATTTTTGTCTTGTTCCTGATATTAGAGAAAAAGCATTCAGTCTTTTATCATTAAGTACTATTATTTGAGCCCTAGGCAATAGATGCTCTATATCAAGTTGAG